GACCATTTGATCTAGTAATAATTGCAGAAGACCAAAGCAGCATTTTCAAAAGAAAAGTGAGTTAACAGCTAAAAATATTGTGCAAGAAAAAAATTCGTTTAATTCTACAGACATCTGCTATTCTTCATATCGACATCATAGGTGACATGTCGTTAAAATTTTTCCCCTTACCTTCCACCATCTACATTTCAACAGAGAAGGCGGTTGGAAGTGTTGTCCTAAGGTCTGATAAGTCATTTCCTTGCTGCTTACAAAAATTGAGAATTATCCTTAGGGCTTCCGCTTTCACAAGTACTTCGATGCCAGTCCACTTCCGTATTCTCGAGAATGACGCACCATTCGTGATGGATGGAGATCTGCTCAGAGTTGGTTTAATAAATTTTCATTTAAGGGTGGCCTTAATTTGTTTGACTTTTATCTTTGCTAAAATTTCAAAAATTTAAGTGCTTTTTCGAAAAAAAAAGTGATCTGCCGACTTAAATTGCACAATTTAGGTAGCTTCGCATTTGTCTGCTGGTGAGACAAATCTTACTGTGCGGGCAGAAACCGAAAATGCTCATTCGGATCACCGGCTGAAGGTTGTGGTGATGTTTGATAGAGATAAGTATCCTGTCTTCCCGCAGCTCACCTATGATATCGACGTAAGCCCTTAAGTGCATTTTACAATATGTTTCTCCAATCATGATATGGATATGCCTTCCAGAAACAGGGAATAGTGGACATCAGTGTTTCAATGCGAATAATTCATCACTTTTTGATAAATTCATTAGCTTCACATTACGATCACCTGCTTGATTATTAGCTTAAGCGCGATATATTTTATCAGAATACACTATGATCTCGGTTCCCTAAAATATTTCTAAAACAGCTGAGCGAAATGGCGAACATTATTGAATATGAGCAGAATGAAATGAAATTGGGTGCTTACTACTTTGAGGCACCCCTATGGTGCAATGAAAGCTATTATGCGCATGAGACTATAATGTTATAAGGAAAAATCTGTTATTTCCTTTTTCTTGGAAGTAGAGTTCCAAATTACTCGTTGTTTGCAAATTTTCGAGGTTTCTAACAATGATTTTATTCAAATGTGTGTTACGAACTTACCTAAAAAGGCGTCCATTTTAGATCCCAATAGATTCTATGTTCCCGCTAATTGCCCACCGATTTGATGCTCATCTCTTGAACGGCACCCTTAGGTATCGCTTCTTCCCAGATGGCACAGCTCCTCAAGGTCTTCATATTCATCCTAATACGGTAGGTTGAACACTGAAATTCTCTATTCATTTGCTTAGTTTTATCATATCTTTAGGGTGAACTATCCGTCACTTCCGACTACGTTAATACTCCGTCAAATCACGATACTCAGTTTGTCGTTGTTCGAGCAGTAAATCTAAACTTCCCAGAGTTTTATTCAGACGTTGGGGTAAAATATTTTTGCAGCTTTCTCATGTACATATTGCAAAAGCTAAAGACGGCTATTTAGGTGGCTATCAGTCTGGTCTCCAGCAAAACAATTCGCTTTTCTCAAACCATCTACCGAATGCAACTCACGGAAAACACTCCTATTGGAACAGCGCTTTTCCCACCAATTGAGGTAAAGTGCTTTCGAGAATTTTCCTAGCAATTTCCAGCAATTTTCAAGAAAATTGTCGTCCGCTCCATTTTTGACAGGTGACGAAAACGTGGTACAGCATAATCCCGCAATTTTTATGGGTTATGCTCCCCTTCACCGTTGCCG